GCAGAGCTGCGCGTCTAATCTCACACATGTCTTCCTATCTTTGTGAGGACCACACAGCGCTCTGCACCGTCTTTTCCCCAAGTTTGGTGAGAGGTGGATATGGAGGGTCGCAAAAAAATAGCTCTGGACTTGATCTGGCCTTATTTAAATAAAAATGACCACATGCCGTGAAATTAGAGGGGCGGGCCGTCTCGTTGGCGGGGGGCGGGGCCGCCCCACCTGTATAATGGTAGGGGAAACACTGAAAAAAAGAAAGTACKTATTTCATCACAAAATGCATTTAGGAGACAATGTTCATGGCTATTAATGTAAAGTAATTTAAATGTTTTTTTTACGCTGTAGCTATAAGTCTAGTTCGTCTTTSTAAAAAGTATGATTGAACATTCATGGATTTCTGAAGAGAGGGATGGTTTTAAGTTTTTTTTCTAAGGTTAAATTTGTTTTATTTATTTTTTTAACAAACTTGCCGAATCTTACCTTTGGCGTAGCATTTTTCAGTGGCCATRTTTTCTCCGCAGTTAAACCCGTTTTAAAATCGAGATAAAAGGAACAAAACAGGACAGCTTGTTTGGCTAAGAGAAAACCCGGATACTGGAGCTTTCTTCTTCTTCTTCTTCTTGGTTTATACTGGAGCGTTCAGAAACCAGAAACGGCCGCGGCTACGTCACAGGTTGTCCACCAATCAGATGTAAGCTTAACAAAGCGCTTCATTTCCTKGTGGTTTGTGGTTACTATGGTTACAAAGTGACTCATTTCTTTTTTTTTCTTCTGTCGTCTTTTTTTATAGACCAAAATAATACTCGGTTTGTTTATTTACACACATAAAAATGGAGAAAACTGGAAGTTTAGAACTCAGGTAAGTTGTGGTTTTGCCTACGGGTCGTTTTGAAATTTGTAGCTCGTTTATCTGTAACTTTCTTCCCCTTTTTCGCGTAGATGGATTCAAGGTTTAATAAACACAAACATCGAGTTTGTGGACGAGAAAACCGTCTGTTACGGATGTGGGAACCACGTCTGTTTCTTGAACCTGGAGACCAAAGCCCTCGGTGTGTTTCAGAGCCCTGCAGGGGTCGGAGCTCTCGCAGCGAGCGGCAGAAGCTGCACGTTTGCGTTTTCTGAGCAAAAACTGTCYCCCTCCATATTTGTGTACATTTTCCCCGAACTACAGCTGAAGAATGAACTAAAAGGTAGTTTGTTTTATCACTGTCGCTTTCTCAAACACACTTTATGTAACTATTAACAATCCTTGCAGGAATGGCCCAGCTGGACTACTCATTGTTGACATTTAGTGATGAAGGTCCTTATTTAGGCAGCTGCTCCTCTCTTCCTGACTACACCATCACAGTGTGGTGAGCCACTATGTGGAAYAAATGCTGTTTTAATACGTATTGTTATTATACTATAAATAAATGTTACATATATATTGTGTGTTGCAGGAACTGGGAAAACGCAGAGGCACTTTGTACGCAGTCACAAGCTGGACAAGACGTTGTTTCTTTGGTGTTCAACCCCCTGAACTGGCTCCAGCTTTGTGCTTTGGGCACTACAACCCTCACTGTCTGGAATATAGAGAAGAGTGACAACCTTCATGTCCTGAAACCGAGGTTAGAAAAAAAAAGGGCTGACAGTTGGGCAGTGATGTTTTAAATCTGAATAAACACCAGTAAAATCGAACATTTTGCATGGTTTTATTAATGGTGTTTTGCAGAGTTATAGAGCTTCCAGCAGCTGATGGGTCCTTTGCTGAAAGACGCTCTGATACCACTCTCATCATCAACAACAAACTGCCCAGCAGTGTAAGCGTTCTGGATGTTGTGGTAAAAGCACACAGTTGAAAAAAATAACAAACTTAATTGAAACATAAAAACACGTGTCCTCCTCCACAGACGCTGCCTTCCTCCAGAGCCACATTGACTCCTTCTGCCTTCTGTTGGACAGCCACATCAAAGCTTTACGTGGGCTGCGCAGAAGGCTTTCTGCTCCTTGTTGACCCGGAGAGCTTCTCTGTCTCAATCATGTTCAACGCTACGAGTAAGCCAACATAAACCCTGACCTGCAGGAATGAGGTAGATACTCGGAACATTTCTGTGACGCATCACAATATCTCCTTTTCGTTCAGCTGCCGAYACCATTCCTGAACTTCGAATATTCGACTTCAAAGCTCTCGCTCTTATTGAAAATGGTCTCGTTGTTGTGGGAAAGGTRTGCACCTCAAGTCTATTGAGCATGCTTCAGGAATCCTCAGATAAAAGCTGTTTGAACAGTGTCATTGTGTCGCAGGAGAGCGTGCTGCATTGTGTGCCGAGAGAAACTCAGACCCACATCACACAAACGTGGCCGTTGGAGAAACCTGTCACTGATGTTAGGCTGTCCCCGGACAACGAAACCTTGCTTTTATCTGCCAGTACAGTAAGTCCGTACACGTGCTGTACAAATGAGACATTACGTCCAAGAATAAAATCATTAAAAACAAAACCTGAGCGGCATTTTGATCTTCAGGGGCAAATCTATCTGCTGAACCCGTCCAAGTCAGACAGGGTTATGAAGATCCTGGATGTGCTCAGTGGCAACTTTTTGACTGCTGCTTTTTTGCAGATGGACAGGAACATTTGTGTGGTAACGCTTTGAGAATTACTGCAAATGCAGGAAGTACGTATTTTAGTAATGTGAGGTCTAATATTTGTGTTTTTAACTGGCTGTAGTCTCTGAGGGACTCTGGAGTGCTGGAACTGTGGTCCTCAGATGGCACCTGCCTTGGCTTTCTGCATCTACAAACCAAGGTGAGGTTTAATTTTAAGCCAGTTAAATGTAGTAAACAGAACTGAATAGTGTTTAAAAATAAAAAATTTTCTTGTGTGTAGGTAACARGTCTGGCCTGCTGTCCTATTGCACATTACGCAGCTGTCGGAACAGAGTCAGGGTGTGTTCTCTTTGTCGACCTGAACAAAGAGGAGCGGCCTCGCTTGGTYCACCGGTTTTATCTTTACCACTTTGCTGTGGATCACCTAGCGTGAGTATTAGCTTGAAGACTCAGCTTTCATTAAAAACATGAAGGAAAACTTTATTCTGCTTTATGTCAGAAAAGTCAATAAAGGTGTCTTTCACCAGATTTGACCAGGAGGGTCACTACCTATTCGCCTGCAGTGGCWCAGATCCACACGTCTATGTAATAGATGCAAAACCATCAGCAAGGTTTTCAGTTCTAGGATACATAGGTAAATGCTCCTTTACATCTTTTAAAACAGTTTCTTTTTATTCTCACAAATCACTATATAAAGACAGAGGCCAAAACTGATACATAAGTTCAAAATGTTTTTTTGTTTTTTTTTAAACTTTTTTCCAGTTGTTTCTGGATGCATTTTGTCAGTTTCCACCCAATGCCTCAGCCACGATGAAGTGAAAGTTCTTGTTCTGTGCGCTGAACAGGAGGGCAAAAATAAGGACGGTAGCTTGCTGATAATGATTTCTCTTCCTGCCAGGAACATTGCAGGTACAATGGTTGAATAAAACTATATATATAT